TCATTTAACCTACTAGCCAGATACAGTACAGCGCCCACAAAACGCCACTAGAATGGAGTTAAGCATCTTCTGCGCTACCTCCAAGGGTCTATAGACCTGGGATTATATTTCCTGAAGGGTGGGTCTCCCACCTTAATTGGTTATTCAGATGCAGGTTACAGGTCTGATCCCCACACCGAGAAATCACAAATCGGATTTGTGTTTACATTCGGTGGTACAGTCATCTCCTGGAGGTCTGTCAAGCAAACCACTGTAGCAATCTCATCCAACCATTCCGAACTCCTCGCGATCCATGAAACCAGCAAAGAATGTGTTTGGCTTCGTTCTGTCATTCAGCACATCTTAGTGTCTACCGGCCTGAAGACTGGTGACCTTGAGCCAACTACTATATTTGAAGACAATGCAGCCTGCGTTGCTCAACTTCAGTCTGGCTTCATCAAGGGTGACAAGACGAAGCACATATCTCCTAAGTTTTTCTGGACGCACGATCTTCAAGAGGAGGAGCAAGTTAAAGTACAGCAGATCTAATCATGTAATAATTTAGCTGACTTGTTCACTAAGGCTCTGCCTAGATGTACTTTTGTAAAACTTGTAAAAGGAATAGGGATGAGACATCTGAAAGACCTACAAGCCTGAAGCTTGTATGGTTCAGGGGGAGTAACCTATGGGTTGTACTCTTTTTCCTTAGGCTGATGGTTTTTTCCCACTGGGTTTTCCACAGCTAAGGTTTTAACGAGGCAAACAAGTTTACTCTATATCCAGAAGTATTCACCCCATTAGCTTTACAAACCCTGAAGTGTTCATAAGCTAAACTCAAGGTAATGGATGGATAAGGGGGAGTATTATGAGATGAAGGAGGCATTTGGCCTCCTCCTCATTATCCCTCCATTCACACCCCATTATGGTGATGTAACATCCCATTAAGTGAGGGTGACTCTTGGGTACTCAACCTATTCACATTAATTAGTATAAATATATATCATAGGCCTTTGGCCTATGTACTTGCTTTAAACATTATAAGCATTTACTAACATTAAAAAAATTCAACTGTTGCATTACAATAATCATAACCACTAAAATAATAAAAATAATCATGATTGACATCATGGAGGGAGGTAGCGTGCTCTAAATCGGGCAAGTGTCTATGTCATTAAAGAATCTAAAAATAATTTTCTTTCAACGACTGGTTGAACAATAATAAACACCTATTTCTTTCTAATTTAAGGAGTAGATAATAATACCTTAGGCGTGTTAGACCCTAGAGGGGGGATGATTAGGGTCTTATGCTAATCTAATCCGATTTAATGCCAATTAAAATTAATTAATAAGTTATCCTAGCAAGTATGAAATACAACAATGTATATGAGCTAGGATAAGTAATATGAACAACAAGATATATCCTAACAAAGAGATATAGACAATGTATGTGCAAGGATATATAAGCTCAAGGGTAAACAATCTAAACTAGATAGTGGGCAATATAATCAACAAGCAATATACAAAGACGATATAAGATATAAACATAAAAGTAAGTGCGCCAATGCAATCACAAACAAACAATATGATTACGGAGTTCGGTCCCCACGACCTACGTCTCCGCTCCTCACCTCGAGGAGATCTCCACTATCTCAACCGGGTTTTCTACGTTCACCCGAACAACGTTTACACCTCACAATACAATCACTATGCAATCACACCTTACACACTAAGTGTTGGTCCTAGCCCGTGTCCTCCTCCTCAAGTGCTCGGTTACAACCTCTCCCTAGGCACGTCAACCGACGCCACTCCTTTTGGATTCGACCCCGTCTCTCACCACACACTTCTCTCGGTGTACAAGTGTTTTACAAGTAAATCCTCACAATTAAGCACAATATAAATCAATTGATTGTTCTCTAAACAAGGTGAGAACTCAATTAAGCTCACTCTCAATGTCACAAACCCACAACCCTAAATTATACTATGAATGTAAATACAATAAGCTCAAAAGGTTGTGTGTGAACAAAGAGATATAAATCAAAACTAAACTCAATGTAGTTCTAGCTTAATAACAATGATAATCAACACTAAAAACAAACTTAAACCCTTGATTAAAACTTTCTTAAACTTGTTTTAAAACTCTCTTGGATGATCTTGAAAGAAGACAGCAAAGGGGTATTTATACCCTCTCACAACTCAGCCAAAAACCCCAAGCAAAAAGACAGAAAAGTCCCCAGAAGATAGCTCAGAAAAATAGCCGTTAGTGTCTAACGGATCTATTGGCGGTCGACCGACAGATCGTTCGGTCGACCGAAAGAAAAATTCGGTCGACCGACGAAAAAATCCGGTCGACCGTGAGCAGGTCTGAAAAACAAAAAACAAGCAGAGACTTCGTCGGTCGACCGGTGCGGTCGACCGATGGAGCTTTCGGTCGACCGGACCGGTCGACCGACAGACTCTCTGTCGCACAGTGAGCACAAGAACTCAGGTTCGGTCGACCGAAAACTGACATACTCAAAACCTGATTTGCTGATTTTAAAACACTATTTAAAAATATCAAATAAATTTTAAAAAATATAAAACTTTGGGAAATGATTGTAGACATGATAATAAACATGCTACAACTACTGGTTTCAAAAAAGGACTTCCCAAATGAAAAATGTCATCATTTTGCAAAATAGTCCAAAACATGAAAATATGAGATACTTGAATTTTGATGTTTTGACATAAACCAACTTTTAAAACTTTGTGAAATGTTTTTATAGACTTAGTAAAACATGTATAAACTGAATTGAAGTCTACAAACTAAGAATACAATATTTTCACAAATACAATAGAAAATGAAACCTATGAGTATGTATATAAAAATATATTTGTTTCATATCTATGTAGATAAACCAAATCACAATAATAAATATGAAACATGTAATTTCATATTTATAAACATGAAAACCAAAACTTGTGTTGTATATATATGTGATTACATATATATACAAGGAAACTAATAAAATGTGTGTGTATAGATAATTGAGCTTAGAGTACTTAACACACATAATATAAATCCTAAACTACATTACCCAAGCAATATTGATCTTCAATTAAGCTTGACTTGGTACACGTTGCGGATGAAGCTTGAACTTGATCTTTAACTATGAATTGCAAGGCTTTACCGACATTCCGCCAACCTCCATTGGATATGATCGTTGAAGCTCTATTCCATCCAACCTCCAACTACGTTGTTTGTCTACAATACATAAGAATGTACAAACACTAGACAAACAACATTAGTAGTAAATTGTTTGTTAAACATCATCAAAACAAAGAGGCCAACAAGGCGTCGTTTGTCAAAAGGCTAAGAAAGAAATATTAAGGAGAAAGACTAACGTAATTAATCCATTGGATAGCTCAAAGGACGAAACTATTAGCCCCTTAAATGAGTTTTATTTTTGCCCTTATGAATTATGATCAGTATCAGTGTTTGGGAAGAACGAGGGTTTTTGACTATTTTATTAATAAATAAAGGGTTAGCTCTTAATCTTCCTAAATAACAGTATTAGTAAACCCCTTAGTTCAAGAGGTTAACTCATTTTAATCTCTCTAGGAGGGTTAACTTAACTCTGACGCATTTTCTAAGTTCGGCAAATTATAGAGGATTAACTCACTTTAACCATTGTATTGATTTTTTTTATGTTTGGCAGGTTAAGAAAAGTTAAGTCTCATTAACCCTTCACATAACTCATAGTCAAATAGCACCTTAATTCATTTCTCTTTATTGACGTGATGGAGGGGGCCACGTATTAATGTTCTAAATTAGGCAAGCGTCCGGATTGAATTAAAATAATTCCTTTTGATGATCTGTTGAACAATACAGGATACCTTTATGCTTCAGATTCGAGATATATATAGGTAACACTTTATGAGATATTCTTTTGGTGTTAAAAGGTCTCACACGCTCTATAATTGAGATGTATTTTATTCCAGCGATAGTATCGAGCTATTTACAAAGACTTCGATAAAAGATAAAAAAAAGTTAATGCAAATTCAGTTCTAGCGAGAAAACCAACGTGTCTCGTAACTGCTTAATTTGAAAGACGAATGCAATGTTACCAACAAAATTTCTAACATTTCGGGTGCACATATATTGCGTATTGATGGCACCCATAAAATTGAAGAAAAGATATGTTCGAGAATAAGAGATAAGAGACGCATCATACATATGCGCATATATTTAAGATTCATATCTCCCTTCCCTCTAAAGCTAAAGATTGAGCAAAGATGGACTGATATGTAAGACCTTGGACTGATACGGGGCTAATATGCAAAAGACCAAGGTTATTGGACAAGAGTTGCTAGGTTCAAGGACTTATGTGTAATATATGGGTTAGTTAGTTATTACTTCAATACAATTAGTCTGTTAGACAGTTTTGCACAAACACTGTACGTGCACGTGCACAAGCTAAGTCCTCAGCTGGAAGTTGTATAAAGAGAAGGTTGTAAAGATCAAAACACATGAAATGAATGAGAATCTTTTCTTCTCCTAAACTCTGAATCCTGTTCTTCCTCACTCATCTCTTTCTTCATCGTCTCAATTCTCCCTTATTTTCTGTTCTCAAGACTTGATAATCTCATTCATGGCCAGAAATAACAACTTGAGGTCCAATTGAGGTTCTCGATCCTCACAAATTATTATTATTTTCAATATAAAATTGTAGTAAGCAATATTCATTACTGCAGTGAGTACTACATCTGAAAATATATCATAATTAGCCACCCGTTAAAGACCCACCCGCAACTGTTTTAAATAGTAATCACTCAAAAAATAGTTTTCTAGTAGCGCGCGCCGCAGAGGATCCAAGTCATATACTTCGGTTATACATGACTTTCTACAAAGCAGTCCCTATTGAATTATTTTTTTCCTACGTCAAACTAATGTAATCGATTAGGATCATCTAATGCATTTTATTTTGGGCCAATGTCTTCAAAATAATAATAATAATAATAAAAGAAGGAAAAAACGTGAAAGATAACCAAAGCAACAACCATTTATGAAAAATCCAACTCATTTTCATTTATACATCCTATATCTTTTGACCAATCCACAACAAAATTCAGGCACGTCACGGAATCTCTATAAAGCCCAAGCCCAAGCTTTCAAGCCCAAGCCCAACGATAAATCTCAGCCGCTCAGTCCCGTCGCTAACATTCCCCAAACCAACCTCAACCCCACGACCTCCATCCAACAGCTCGCCCTCCCCCACGTCAGCTCTCCGGTAATTCTCACGTGCAACTCACCTGCCATCCCCACTTCAGAACGGCTTCTGCAGGTACATGAGAACGTCCTGCATCGGATCCCTGTACATCGGGTCCAGCTGCGAAAACTGCGGCCCAGCGGCGTTCACGCTGTTAAAAGGAGCTGCAAGGGCCCTTTCGAACTCCTCCCACCTGAGCTGGCTCTGCACCTCCCTCTCGCACGTGAACTCCGGCGAGACCACGTGCTCGGAGCAGCTCGAGTCCGCGTGCAGCTTCGGCAGAGAGTCTGACGCGTCAAAATAAAAGAAGTCGTTGTTTACGGCGGTGGGGCTGTGTCACGTGTGCATCAGTGGAGGTTTGGACTGGCCGGGCCGGACGCTCTCGACCCGGCCGGTTTCTTCTCTGGGCCGGTTAGTTTCTCGCCGCCGCCTTTCTTTTTATAGATGCGGCAAAGAACCCAATCGTCCAACTGTAAATAACACGTGTCAAAAAATAATTGGTTAAGACTTTGGAAAGGCTAAAATGCAAAATTAATATCTGCCCCCATCATTTTCAACGTGGACAAATGGATAAGAACAAAAGTGAAAGGAAGCCGATCCCCTTTCACACTTCATTCAACCCCGTTTATTTAGGGATCATTTTTTTTTAAGGCTAGCTTTTTGGCCCCCTTCAGATAATAAGGTGATTTAATCGAGAACACAACAAGGGATTTTTTTTTTTTTTGTGTTTTTAAAAACGATTTAGTAAGGAGATAGGATTTAAAACAAATCGAGGGAACTTTTTTGGGTTAACGAATAAAATCCCTGAAAGCCCGCATTGGCCCGTTAAAAACTCACCCGAAGGCTGTTCTTTCTTCGAGCGGACCGGTCCACATCAGCCAGCCTATACTCGTGCATAATCCAGTTGGTCTTATCTCCCTTCGGAGCTTTACCCGCATAAAAAACCAGCGCTTTTTTTATCGCCACCGGTTTAGGCGATCCTACCGGTTTATCGGCACCCGTCGCCTTCCAATAACCTGACCCGGCCGCCCGGTTCGGTCTCGATCCGTTCGGATATTTCCGGTCCCTCGGCGAGAAGAAGTACCATTCTTTCTCTCCGTACAAAGCCATTTCTGCAAGATTAATAAAAAAAATAAATATACAGCAAGTTACAGCAAAACAGTACAACACAACGCTGTTTTCACATGTACGTAAAAAATTTGAGTTTTTGCCAAAAAAAACTTCAGAATTTTACTAATTAAGGACGATGAAATTTATTATTTGCTTACCAGGTAGCTGCCACGGGTCGAATTTGTAAAGATCGATTTCGGCGATGATCGGCACGGCGAGCGATAGTCCTGCACATTTTCTACATAGATAGTGCATCACTAGCTCCTCATCAGTTGGGTGGAATCTGAATCCGGGGGGTAGTTGCAAATTTCCGCTCGACATTTTTTTTTCTTTTCTTTTTTCTTTTGCAGATTTCGGTTTCGGCCCTTTCCGAAGATGTTGTTACTATCGTATCCGAAGAAAGCTCGAAGCTTGAAACTTTGAATTCAGGAGCAGGAGGAGATTTATAAGGAGGCGAGGAGCCGGATAAAGGCACGTGTCGGGCCGGGGGAGTAGCTTCTCGAAGAACACGTGGTCAAGTTGACCCGAGCCCACGCACGCGTGGCGGTTTATTCCCCGGTTTATGTGAAAACGTCG